ATGGCATAGTTCCTGAATTGCTTATTTTTTTCCTTGCAGTTGTGTTCCTAGTTTTATCGCGTGGTGACTGTAATGAAGTTTGGGTTTGTAATGTTTGTTTTTTCTTGGCAGTTGGCAATTTGCTCTCTCCCCTATTGGAATAATATGAGTATCTTACTAACTGGTTAAAGATAATTGGAAGGGAGAGCTAGGAAGCATCATTGGAAGGTGGGACAGCAGAGTGTATCCTTTTCTAAGGCTGAATATTTCCAGAAAACAGTGGGTTTTGATTTTCATATGGTTGGCTTTTATGAAGTGAAACATGGTGAGTCCTTCATATGTTGGGCTTGTTTTCTTAAGGACCAATATTCAACGAGGGACACTGCCGAGTCCCCATCATTTAGCATGCTGTCTGACACACAGTACGTACTTAAGAAATGTTCGCCTCACTCATGAAGGATGGAAGGAAAAGCTGCATGCGAAGGTCAATCAGTGCTTCCTGGAAAGTTCCAATTAAATGTAAGGTGCCAGATCAATGAGAAAGCCAAACCCAGGCATGCAGCCTTCTCCAGGGCTGATGCCTTCCCAGCTGAGGTCTGATTTCTGACCTCAGCTTTTGGCTCCCTTCTTCCTGGATTATTCTAGTAGAGTTGGTTACAAACAAGGCTTAAATTAAAGAAAAGAAAACTCTTAGTCCTCCAAGCCCTTGAACATTAATACACAAAGCACCTGCAGCACTACGGCAACCATTTGTTTTTACTCTTTATCTTAAGACTCTTCAGACTTTGGATGCTGCCAGAACTTGACTTAGAAAACAAACTTCTTCAGGAGCTTGCAACTAACTTCTGACTGTGTCTCCAGGAATCTCAGCAGAATGGGATGCACCATGAGGAATCCAGCTTAGTATCCAGCTTACTGGATGTTATGGTTTAGATCTAAAAAATTCCCCCTCAAATCTCATATATTTAGAGATGGGGCTTCTAGATGGTGACTTGATCAGCGGGTATACGCATCAGTTGACTAATAGTTGAATATGTAGTTAGGAGGTGGGGTCTGGGTGAAAGAGGTGGGCCACTAGATGGATGTGTTCTTGTCCTCAGCTCCTCCCTTCTCTCTCTGCTTCTTGGTTGCCATGGGATGAGCAGCTTTCCTTTCCTAGGCTCTTCCACTATGCCATTTTTACCTTGGAGCCAAACAACCGTGTACTGAGTCCTCTGAAACCATGAGCCAAATAAACCTCTCCTTTCAATTGTGGGTGTCAGCTGTTTTGTCCCAGTGACAGGGAAGTAACTAATACCCTGGTAGACCCTGGGCCCCAAATCCAGCTGTTTCCAAATGTTCCGCAAGCAAGGTGCTTGTGTGGTAGCCTGACTTTTTTCTCCCTTAGGTTGTTACTATCTAGACATCCCCGAAAAGCCTCATGAGCTCATAGGTGGGTCTTTTGGGAGGTGATTGGATCACAGATGTGCGATACTCATCAGTGGGTCAGTTTGCTGATGAGTTTGTAGCTAAGTGTGATGTTGGGAGGTGAAGCCTGGTTGGGTCACAGCCTGGAAGGGCATATCTCCCTTTCTCCTCCCTTGATCCTGCTCTCGGCTTCCTGCTGCAGTGCTATGAGCTGTTTCTCTTCTACAGTTCCCCTATTCCATGCCTCTCTTCCTTGGAGTCAGCCAACTGGAAACTGAAACTGCTACAGATTGTGAGCCAAAATAAACCTTTCCTCCTTTAACTTGTGAGTGTTGGGTATTGTGTCTCTGCGATGAGAAAGTAACTAAGACAGTTGTGTTGTCATCATAAGGATATAGCCTCAAGGGACAGGGCTTCCAGAGGCCCTGTGGGTCCCCAAAGTTCTCTGCCCCACTGGACTGAGGAACTGGGTGATGCAATGGACCTCAGGGAAAAAGCAAGCTCTTTTATGTGTTGAGTGAAGGCTCTTCAGGGTCCAGAAACCTGGAAGACAGGTTGGTAGTGAAATTGTTACACTAACAAAACTTGATTTCAATTCCAATGAAGTGAGTGAGATGGCCTCTCTCTAAGTGTGGGTTTGTGCATGTGCAGACATGAACACTGAGATGCTGCTAAAATGAATATCTCAGCCGTGCAAACCAGTGTTGGTCATAATCTCACCTCCAAGAGATCACACAGAGCAATCATTTCGACTCTCTTGGTCTGTTCAGGCCGTTAGGACAAAATATCATAAACTAGGTAGCTCATAAAGGACAATTTGTGGTTTGAGAAGTCCAAAACCAAAGCATCAACAGATGTGGTGTCTACTGAGGCCTGTTTCCTGATTCATAGATGATGGAGGGGCCAGGGATATCTCCAGGGTCTCTTTCAGAAGGACTTTAATCTCATCCATGAGGCCTCCTAACCTAATCACCTCCCAGATCTTCCACCCCCAAATACCCTCAGAATCAGAGAATAGGTTTCCGCATATGAATTTGGGAGAAAGAACATGAAAACACTGCCTGCAGGACCCACTAACCATACCTGTACATTTACAGTTGTTGTTTCTCACCATTGATTTCATGAGGCTTCCTAGGTGCATCCTTTCTGGTTTCCAGTGGCAGAGCGCATGAGTTGGATGCAAGGTATCTGTCCAAAGTCTAGAGACCGTTCTTTGGAATAAATTTGCTGACTTGTCTCTGGTAGGGAGGGACCCAGCAAGGAAATCTGGGTTTCTATGTGTCTTCTGCAGCTCCCTCAGTGTCTAAGTATTTTCCAAATTCTTACAAAGAATGTCAGCAAATCAGGGCCCAGTGGGAAGCAGCTCTATCTGCCCGTCTCAGTGGATCCACTAGAGCCCCACAGTTGTGACTCACTTTTAAGCAGAGGAACTCCTGCTGTCAGAGTTCAACTGCTTGTCTGTTTTTGTTTCAAGAGACAGGATTTCTTACCTCTAAATCACTTTCTTAGTAGTTTGCTTTCTCTCTGTTATGAATGGCTTCTGTGGTCTTGACCATCCAGTTTTGACCTGTGCTAACTGACTCTGTTTCTTGGTATTTCTTAGAGAAAACATCTCACCGGCCTTGCTCATGTACCGAGTCACATCTCTGAGACTGTGACTTCTTGGTAGAGTCTTTTCTGTTCCACCAGTGTAGGCCAGGGAACAGAGCAGACAGAGCTTGGTCTCTGGGTAGGGCTGAACATAAGACAGGCCTCAGGATTCCTGGGAATTGAACAGGGCAGGGTGAGTAGGTGTTCTTGGGAGTTTGTGTCCCAGATCATTGCAATCCTAGACTCCTTGCCAGCAATAGGACATTTTGATCCTCTAAGGGTACCTGAATAGACACTGGCTTTTTTGGCCTGGTGTGCCAGTTGTTTCTCTGGGGTCTGTGAATGGCCAATGGTGGACTTTTATTTTTGTTTCTTTTCTGGCCCATGAGCTCATGCTCCAATCTGGGATGGCTTCTGAGACCACACTAGATCTACCAGGTCTGCTACTGTTCTTAAACTATGCCCAGCAGGCACCGCCCTGTGGCTAGATTGTGACTGTCTCACCATCTCACCGTCTGGAGGAGTTGGAATGAGAAGCAGGCAGGTTTTGTGATATGAAAGCCTTTGTCATTTTATTTTACAGTAAAAAATTCTAACAGCATATGAACACTCTGTTCCCGGCAGAGGCAAAGGATGTACAAAGTTAATTAGAAAGCAAAGCATTAAAATAACAACAGCTACATTCAAAGCTTCTGCTCAGTACTTTGCCTGATGTGTCTAATGTGGCTTGAAAGAATCACTGGTCTGGGTTTTTCACCCAGAGTGAAAGCACAGGTACAAATACTTACACATCCTCCAAATTACAGATGACAATGACAATAACAGCAACTCCCATGTGGGGCTGGCTTTTGTGGGCAATTCCGAACTTAGGAATTTATTTGTCCTTGACAAGAAGTTGTGTCAGGCAACACGAGATGATATAATTTACTCCACTGGGTGGGTAGAGCTAAAACACTGTGCTGGATAAAACTGAATTGTGAAAGTAATAATTTAGTAAGAATTCCTTCAAATGTACTTCTCAATCCATTTTCAGATATATTATGCTATGTGCTCCTCCCAACCACCAGGGGAGCTAGGGAGTACAGATTGTGTTATACCCATTCGACAGGTGAGGAATTAGAGACTAGTTTTAAATGAGTTGCTCAAGGTCTAGAATATTTACACCTTTTCAAAATTTCCATTCCATAGATATTTCTCGGACTCTGTTTGGTATATTTTTTTCTCCATTCAATTTGTATGTGGGAAAGGTGAGTTTAGACATAAAGAAAGGACGAGGGGAAAGGTGAGACCACAGTTAATCTATGTAAAATACATTTATGGCCTCCCCATAATTTACAAAAGCCTGACCAAGGTCAGAGAATGAAAATAATCAATTTCTAGATTTCATTATATAATGGCTCTCAATAAAGTATGCGTCTGACCTTGGAGACAAATTCCTGCCTCATCAAAATGCTTTCTTAGTTGTGTAACCTGCAGAATCAAAGCAACTCAATGTCTTCTAAGAGAATTTGTCTGTGACACAGTTATATTTCCTAAATACTACTTTTCAGAAACTCCCTACTTCTTAGCTTTTACCATGGCTAGCAATCTGTTAACAGTTCACCTAAGAAATCAAGAGATCCTTCAGTTTTCAGATACTAACTTCTTATATCCGCAAAGTCAGAGTAACTATAATATCAGTTTCACTTGAAACCAATTTTGTCTCAAAAGACTCTATTGATAGGCTCATTGGTTTTCTCATCCATGCAAGTGTGTGGCTGTGAGCCACGTTAGTAGCACCTGAGCTAAGATCATGCAGTTCAATTTACAAGTATTTATTGTCTGCTGAGCAGGACATCTGCTAACTGGGCCCTGGTTAGAAATCCCTTGGAAGGCCCAGCAGCAGTATTCAATAACTGGTGTTGGGGTGGGAAGTGGCCGAGGCTAGTTCTGGCCAATCTTCCAGGGTTCAAATGCATGCATTCCCACTTGATGCACAAGTGAGAGATGCCCTTTCCTCTCTGTGGCAGTATCCATAAGTGTTGCCCTCTAGTACTGGCTGCTGGGTGGCACTTTAGGAGTATTGGTCAAATGCAGTCTGCAGCAGGTTTCTTTTGAAGGTCCTACCCAGTCTTACTCTTTCCTCGGTACCAGGCCCCAACAGAAGTCCCTGCTGAAAAGGTCAACCCAGGGATCCATGCTTGTATGACCTTTCTTTGCCTCCTTGGTTATATCTGATTGGATAGGCACCTGACTCCAACGGCTTGGCCAGAGGCAGATGAGCTGGACCAATCAGATTCTTAGCAATTTGCCCATGGCAGCACAGAGATGCCAGTCAGGGAGTGCTGGGCATTGAGGAGGAAAGGTTGTGTGGCGTGCGTCCTGGAGTAGGTTTGTCATTTGCACTAATGAGAAAATCTGTTGGCCAAGGGGAGCAGAATATCTGAGCAGATACATAGAGAGAAACAGATGAAGAACATAAGAGAGCCAGAGCACAGGTGCAAGGCAGCTGCCCCTATCCCTTGCCTTTTGGGGAGCTGTGTTTTATTTCTATAAAATGTCCTTGTATTCTTTCATTCAACTCCTGCACTTGAGTGAGTGTGGAAGGCTTCCTAGCCCTCACGGCTCCTTGTCTAGAATATATTTGGGGTTGGATAAAAGGGCGGAGTTTAACTTCTAACACTTAGACCCCAGTTGGTCACTACTTCCCGTTTAATTTTTATCATTCCCTAAGAGTCTTTCATTGTATTTTGAAAGGGAAGTCCACATTCTTTTCTGGTATGTGGTAGGAGCAATTTAAAGTCCAAATCCTGTTCTTAAACTTTAAAAATAGTATCTTCTATTCATTAAACTTTAAGCACTTGTGTGCTATGCAGAAACTCATTTATATGTAACCAATATTTACATGTTTTTGATTTGTGCCTTCAATTTCTGCATAATGTTAGTAAAGCATCTATCTTTGTTAGGTATTTAAATGCCTCTTCTTTCCATTTTATATACTCGCTCTGAATTTTTTTTAAATCACACATCTAACAATTTCCTTTCTTCCATGAAGATTACTCAGAAATTACACGCCCTTTTGATGGGTTCTTAAAATAACAAATGCATATAACTTTTTCGGGACTGGAGAAGTGCCTCTTACACAACCCACACTTTGGAAGGCAGACTGCTGTTCCACAGGTCACACTTGCCATCCTCTTATTACACGAGCCTCAGATCATAGGTGCCAGGTCACGCCGTAGACCTCTGAACTGCCTGTTTCTCCCCGAGAGTGAAGGACGGCACCTGCTGCCTTTCAGGGACAAGCCATCAGCGCGTCCCTGCCTGCTTGTTGGATCTAGGGCACCAAGAGAGGGGACGTCAACCCCACAGTTTTGAACGGCATCTGAGGACACCGTTTCCTTGATGGTCCTCTCTGGAAAAAGCCAGACTGCATTTTTTTTTCACGAATGCAGAAAACTCATATAAAAACCAGTGCTGAAAAAACGTTTATTATGCCACAAAGGTGTCGCCCTCTATACACTATACCCTAAATTCCTTACTCAAGCATCTTTTTTTTTTTTTCTTGGCAAGAGCATTAGGAAGTCCCTCACAGGAGCTTTGTTTATTCTGTAAATTTTCAGGCACAGTTAAAGCATGTGTCACCAGCAAGCGCGCAGGCAGCATGGTACATGGAGAGCAGACTGGACCGTGAGTTAGCAGGGGTGGGCTTGATCCTTGGGCTGCTCACTTCTCTCTGGACTTCCGCTTCCTCTTCCACGGTGACTGACACCCTCTATGGCTTTTGTGACTGCCTGGAGGGTCATGATAAACACTGAGTTGCTCACTGCTGTCTCTGTAGGTTTCTTATGAAACCCTGATTTCACTTCCATGAAGCACATTTTACCATCTACCTTTTCATTTACCCTGGTGTCTGTCACCTCCAGGAGGTCAGGAGACATCAGAGAAGGGACCACATCATAGTCCCAGAAAGGTGAACAATGGCGGCTCTCTCCCCTTTTTTGGGAAAATACAAACAGATTTTCCTTCATACACTATTGTTTCTTCTCATTTACTTTTCTTGAACCTGCAGTTTCTGGTTTAAGAGACTGTCTGATTTAGCATGCTATATCTTACTTTTTTCAATGGACTAAATATTTCATGGGGTTCTGTGAAGACTGCAATGATTTGTAGCTCCACTGTCTTAGCAATCCGGAACTACACCGGGGCAAACTCCAGAATCATGATCTGTAATCACCAGAACATCCAAAGCTTTTGTCTTTTGAAACATGTACATATCTCTCAATGACACTAAGGTCTTCAACTTCACTTTCACATATGGTATTTCCAGACATTTACCAGGTAGACAAAGTACTGGGTTGATATCATTGCACTGATGAAATATTGGTATCATTGATAAAGTGGGACAACGTAGCTGACTTATCAGACTCATACCATCTGCATGAAAAGGCTGAGTTTCTTTGGCTCTTTGTTCATTCAAGTGCATTGAATGCCGATTTGGATAGACCTAGGCATTGTGTTAATCTGTCGATAAAATCTCGCCCCATCCACAGTGTTCTGCAAGCTGATTTAGGTTTTGGACTACAACAACTGGCCATTGGTAGAAATATACCATATGTACACATGGAAATTACAAAAATACATTTTATTTATAGCTGATTTCTTTTTAAGTAACAAAAACTAACACTATGAAAGATCAACCAGCATACTAAAAGGACACTACCTAATATCATCGGAACAAGAGACTTGTTTGAGGATTCCATGATACTTCATCTCTGAACATTCCAGAAAGGGCAATTTGCCATTGGGAAATAAAAACAGCTTCTCGGAAAAGTCTGTGCTTTGAGTTTGAATCTCCCATTCTAATCAGTTTCATTCCTACTTTTCTCCCAACTTTTAAATTTCCACCTTCTTCTTTCTGGTAAAGACCAAAGAAACTCATGAGGACAATGGACAGAGGGGTCAGGAGGGAATGGTAACTACTGAAACCAGATGGGTCATGGGTGAAGGCAGGACAGGACCTCACTCTCCAACAGACACCAAGTAAGCCCCCAACACCATACATGCTACCCAAAAGGCAGGAGACGTGCTGCCCGCATTCATGGTAGTCAGTGGCTGGTGCCCCAGTCCTGTGGGGCAACGTCCTCCACTTGGAACTCAGGAGGCCAATTCTCCACGCCAAGAAGGTTGACCTGGAACATCACGGTCACAAGGTAGCAGCCTTGCCATTTTGACAAATGTCCTCTTGTGTCCATAAACCATAGAGAATTGTCAAACTCTGTACATTTTAAATAGCGGTTATTTACATTTAAATTCAGATCAACAGATTTTCCACATTCAGAAACTTCTGTAAACTGAGGCTGCAGCTTGGAATAACCAAGAACCATTGCTCCCATTTCTAACAGGAATCAATGATGATTTTCTCTTGTACCCCTTGGCAGAACAGGCTGCACGCCAGTGTTGAAGAGACCGAGATTTTCATGTAAAAGTCAATGTATCTTTTAGCCCTAAGAGAGAAGCTCTGTTGTCAGGCCAGCTTCAATGCAGGCAAAGAAAAACCTCTACAAATACCTATTTTTCTTTTGTAGGATCCTAAAAGCTCTTAGCACCGATTCTCTTTCATTTTAATCCCAACGCACAGGGTACTCTATTTCCAAGTGACAACACCTTTTAAAAAGCTTTTCGACACAAACCCACCATGCCCACTCATCTCTCCCTTTAATTAACCTTGTTGGGGGGGGATCAGAACTATTTATAGGTGCAGCCGTTGGTACATCCAATTCACGTGACTCTGAATATGAACCTTTAAGAGCAAAGAGACTCAAGTTTCTTGGCTGGATTCAGTGTCTGCTTTATAGAGATGATTTTAGCAATCATGGTCACGGCTGAATGAGAGAGAAGACAGTCTGGGGTGTAATTCACACTCCTGCATTGCCTTTAACACAGAAAAGGGTTAACATGCAGAGGTCACCAAAGATAGAGCTATATTCTCCCCTTTCTGGTGATTTATTCAAATGTGGCATTGGACAAGAAATCTATAGATTAGTGAGTGCCTCTCTTGACTAAGGCTTCTTGGGAAAAAAAAATCCATGAATCAAACATTCAACATAGCAGTATCTGAAACACATGGTCCCAAGCAGGACCTGTGAGCCATGGTCAGGTGCATGAGCCAAGAATCCAGTGGTTCATGAGTTTCCTCTGTTTCCCAGAAGCACCATTGTTCATCTTTTCGGAAAATGAGGGTGAAGAAGACTCACCCCTTGTCAGTGTCTCAGGTCCACACACAATAGGTGTGAGGACCCCAAAGCTTGATTCCTTGGTGTCTGGAAGTACAGAGTCCCACGGAGCTGAACTGTTAGACCTGGAACTCAAACATGTCCGTCTGCTTTTTGGCCAGCTTGGCCACTTCCTCTCTGATGGCTTTCACAAGAGCTGCGGTGGAGATGTTGGTCAGGGGAGCATCGGATGGGTCATTTTCCGCCAGGCTCTGCTGTGATGCTGCTGCGGAGGGCACAGGGCCCTGCTCCAGGCTGGGGTGCAGGTTGGCTGGCTGGCTGTACTGGCGTGGGAGCCTGGAAGGTGAGCTCTGCTGATACCGTGACCGAGGGTAGGCCTCGATGTACCCGGGCAGGGGCACCTGCACAGGACATCAGGAGAGAAGGGAAGGGTCAAGAATTAGGAGAGAGTTTGAGCCACAGGACATGCGCAGCAGGGGCCTAAGGACAAGGAAAGGGCCTCAGAAAAGAATGGAAGCCACACACCATTGTCCAGATATAAAACCGGGAGTCCATCTATCTAGGAACAGGTTAGAAAAGACTTGCCGAATGTACTGGCTGATGAATTAAACAGGCGCTTAAAGCCTGACTGAAGCCTTCGGGATACACCTGAGTCTCCATCTGAGCCTACGTGGTGTCCTTTTAAGCACATTCCAGCAACTACAGCGGTGTCCACGAAGCTCAGGGGAGTTCTTTTTCCTTTTTTCCTCTTCCTGAGTCCTTCCCTCCCTCCCTCCCTTCCTTTCTTCCTTCTTTTCATTCCCCCTTCTTCCTTTGTTTTCTAGAACCGAGGATTGAACCCAGAGCCTTCACAGTGAGCTACATCTCCAGCCCTTTTTTTGTTTTATATTTTGCAACAGGGTCTCCCTAAGTCAATAAGTTCCTCGGGCTGGGCTAGAACTTAGGATCTTCCTTCCTCAGCCTCCCAGAGTGCCAGGATTATAGAATTGTGCCACTAAGCCCAGCCGGGTTTCTTATGAATAATAATAATAGCTAACACCCATTTCACACATTATCTCATTTAATTCACAAAGCAACAGTCTAAGCGGTATCATTATCCTTACTTTACAGATGAGGACACTGAAGCACAGAGTGCCAGTCTAGGTGACACAGCTAACAAGCTTACGAGAAGTACCTTGACAGGTGTGTCTACCTCCAAGGGCTGGGCATTGATCCCTGCACTACAATGTCTTGCGTCTGGGACATGATCTTGCTTTCTTGAAATTCTTTCTTTCCATTAAAAGCAGGAGACACCCCATTCTACACCTAAATGTAATGGAACTTCTGGGAATAAGGGCAGATCAAGGATTTTGAATTTAAGAGTGACCCTCTGCCAGAAATAGTGCCCCATACCAGGATGCCGTCCCTGCTTGGTCCACAAAGACCTTCATATCCCACAAGGCCAATGGGGACACTGTGGCCATGGGTGACATGCGGGTGGAGGGGCTGCAGGGAAGCCTTCGTGTGTGAGAAGTTGGGCAGCTTTCTGGGGCCGGTGGCAGAGGCGAGTCCACTCCCAGGAAGAGGAGGTGGGAAGGGAACTGCAGCAGAGGGAAGAGCATGCAAAAGCACGGCTGGTGCAGGGGCAGAGGAAGCGGTTCCCCAGGGAGGTTCAGATCCAAAGGCCTGGCCGAGGAGTATGTCCTTCCTTAAGGAACCTGCATGTTTTCTGGGTGGCTTGTGGGAGGACAGGCCACTCCCTTTCCTAACAGAGACTTTCATCCCGTCCAGGGGGAGCCCGGGGCAGGATGGCTGTCTTAGCCTGTTCTGGTAGCTATCGCAAAATACCATGGACCAGCAAGCTGATACAGCACAAATGTATTTCTCATCATTCTGAAGGCGGGGCAGCGTGAGGCCTGGGCACTGGCACGGTGGCAGTGGACTTTTCATTAGCACTCATGTGGTAGATGCAGCAGGGCTGCTCTCTGGGGCCTCTTTATAATGGCACTCATGCCATCCCTGAGGACTTCACCCTCAGGCCTGAAGGGTCTCACTTCCCAGTGCCATCACAGGACCCAATACAACTGGATGGGTGGACACAACACTCAGACCACAGCAATGGGGTTGAGTGATGATTTGGAAATTCTGAACGGGGGAATATGTGGTAGGAAAGCAGCCCCCTCCTGTCCCTGCTGCTGGATGTTCCGGGGACCCCTCCTGAGAAACCCTGTTTCCGGGAAGCATGGCTGACCCTGGCCCGTGAACCACTGCTGGGTGCCAGCTGCCGAGAGGAGTCTGTATTGTAGAAGGGTCCTCAGGAGTGGGATCCACTGCAGCAAGGGAGGGGCACAAGTTCTGAGTCTACATCAGTGGCCCAGGTGAGAGCTAGGGAAGACTCAAGCAAGGGAAGAAACTCGATCCGCATCCTGAAGTTGGAGTTTGGGACTTTGATTTTCCCACAAACCCTAGCAAAAAAAAAAAAAAACAAAGTGACAAATAGCCATGCTAACAGCAAGTCCCTACACAAGGATTGGTATATTTTCCTTGAATCCTAGAGGAAAATAAGAGTTGAGTTTTTCCAGTCCTCAGCCACAGGAGCTGAGAATGCACAGGTGACTAGGGTTGACCAAGAACCAAGGCAGGACCCAGCACATGCATTTCAGATCTCAGCACAAATTTTCTTCATTCTAGGGACCTTCTGCAATGTGACATTGCTTGAGGGGTCCCTGCTGGGTGTGACAGTCATCCTTCCTGAAGCCATCACCTATCTGGAGCTGTCACGTTGTAAAGGTAGGACTCTGCCTTAATCGCTTCCTGCTGCACTCTAGGGCACAGAACTATACACAGCACATAGTAGGGCGTCTCTCAGGGGCTGGGCTTCTGGGGAGCACAAATGGAAATCAATGAAGAATGATCATCAGGTGTCAAATGTTTAAGAAGGAAGCTGTCACATTCCCCTTTGCTGCATTTCAAATTCAGGTAACTAGGCCAGAGCTGAGAGAGTCAATGTTCAACTCATGAGAGCCTTCTCTCTCTGTAGCATCAGCTCTTGACGCTAATGGGTGGGATAAGCAAGAGACCCCTGACCCCACTGGAATGGCTTTAAGATGATGTTAAGAAGTAGGGTAGCAGCGGGAAGAGGGGGAGATGATAAGCTCTTTCTCCTTTGAAGTAGATACAGGATAGAGCTATCATGCTTTCCTGCCCATATTTCATGGGCAGTGCCTATGGCAGACACCACCAACTGGTTACAGCAGTTTCCCACTGAACCAGGAAGCTACCGCCCAAATCTTCTCCTTCTTGTATCAAGGATAAAGCCTATCTGTCATTCTAGGTCAAGAGGATTTTATTCAAGCTATCTTTTGGGATCAGGAAGGTCAGACGTTCAAATGAAGGAGGACTCTTCCTTCTCTTTCTTTTCCTGTGCATTATCCCTGCCCTACTAGGATGTCTTTCTCAAGCCAACAGCTGATTCCTCCATGGTCTCTGTCCTATCTCTCACATGCTATAAATCACTTCCCTGCCTGGTTTGCTCCATGCATGAGTGCACAATAGATGAGCTGTCAAAGCTACAAACTCACTGCATGGTTAATACAACTTAAAAATCACTACTTTCTGAAAAAATACATATATAATTTTTAGACTTTAATTCTTTTATGGGATTGAGCTCTGAACTGATCAAACCATTTCTAGTGATCTGAATCACTTAGAAAAGCAGAGAATGAGGGCCGGGGATTTAGCTCCGCGGTTCAGTGGCCTGCCTTGCAAGCACAAGGGCCCGAGTTCAATCCCCGGTACCAAAAAAAAAAAAAAAAAAA